AAAGAACATGTTCGAAATGATTATTTTCTATACACAAACGAGACCTTTTAATAAAATTGTCCTTGATTACATGTATAGATACCCACCTGCATCAAACATACAGATTTTTTAAGGTGAGGCATTTATAGTAGCAAGCTGAAATTTTCAGGGCTTATTCTACATGGATTGGAATAGTTTGTACAATAAAATGAATAATGAAATACAACCTCAAGTTTTTTTAACGCCCTCCAAAGTTGAGGGATGGAAGAGATTTTTCACAAAAAACTGAATTTTTTGAGTTTATGTCTAATAAGCTGTGTTAAAAAGTTACATAGCCATTGTTAAAACTAACCATTTAGCTCATCTAAAAAAGATCACAGTCCTAAACCTAATGGTTTAGTTGTTTTAGAAATTTTACAAAATTACAAATATCTCCTGAAATATAAAATTTCGGACCATACATATAGGAGTTCATTCGATACGTTTTGAGGCCCTCTGACTTCCGTTGATCTGCTACTAACTTTACACCCTGTATAAATAATAGCAGCGATGCACGATCCACAATGGTCGATTCGCGCTATCTCATACTGATAAACCGTACCTCCAGTATAGAGGATCATTGTGATGCTTACGTTTGTTCGTCCTGAGATAAGAGACAAAACCTATACCATGCTGATGAGTAGCTAAGAAGCACGAAATAGCTGTCCATGGTTGGCTGTCTTTTTTTGGTCGGACGGATGAAAGCATCTTGTTTAATCTTTAAGTTACTTATTCTAAAAATCCAGTGGGTCGACGAAGTTATTAACTTTTTGGTACTATAATAATTTAACAAGGAAAAGGGAATATTGCTTATCATTTTATTGGCAACTGAAATCAAAACTTCCTATTATTACTGTAATATTTACAGTACCACCCAAGAAATGCAATATTAGTAAAATAATATACCTTCCTGAACGACATACATATCTGATATTACCTAACGTTATATACCCATTACCAAAAACAAAATAACAAAACATCTTGTGCTGCATTATCGTGCGTGACAGCTGTCACTTGAAATAATAGTAAAAATAATTATCCTACGAGAATAACAACTGGCAGTTTTTATTCCACGAAGTCGACTTTGTGAAAGTTATCAATATTTAACTTTCGATTGTTTGCATCTTTATGATACCAATAGCTGTCAATCATCCTTTTTTTCACTCCCATTTAAAACGATACTATCGATGAAAAGTGAAAACGTATCTGAGTCTGCAGGGATATAATTAGACTGCTTAATGAAAGTGTTTAGTTTTTTGTGAAGCATTTTGCAGATCAGTGTTCAGATGTATTTAGTCCAGAAATATAATTAACGTTACACAACAAAGCAAGGGAAACGAGGCTTTTGGAATCTACCGTTGATTTCAGGGAAAAATTACAGGTTCGTGATCTCCGCATCTGACTTATCTAAGAAAAAAAATTGGTTCGATAATGCAGATACTAAAACACTTTTGAAAGTCTGCTCTACCTTTAAACTTTAAAAGTTTCATAATGCGAATGTCCATTTTTATCCTCCGTACATGCAACATTTCTGTCGACGATCTCATCAAAAAGCTGACATCAGATTAGCGATTAGTACACCACAGCAGCCGCACATGTGCTATGAGGAACATAACGAAACTTTGATTTGATTTTTGAACTGCCCAAGGTTGGTAGGTCTGGGAAAAGCCTCCTCATGAGGATTGTTCCAAAGTCTCGATACCATAGGGACAAACTAGCGGCCGTATCTGCCAGTCGTCCTAGATGTTTGAAGTTCCACACGGTTAGGATGGGAGGCCAAAGTTAGGCGGGTCTGTCTGGCAGGCACATCGCGTGGCGGCATCAAGGTCATCATCGGACAGATATTAGAATATAAATAAGCGTGGTCTCTATGATCAAATCTGCATCTTGTATCGTCAATTGAGGCCTGTCAGATCAAGAATAAATATTTCTCTCCATCTAGCGCGTGGAGCTACTCGTATAATCACGGACCTAGCGAATAAGTGCAATTTTTCTTATATTCGCCTAAAAGACTACAAGAAGTATGCATGGTCTTCTTAATTTATTTGTTATACTATACAAGGTGTCCTCAAAGTTAGGACTTTCCTTCACAGAGCTTACAAGTCAGAAAATAATAAGCAAGTTTTCCTAGAAAGACGTATACCAATGCCTTATGATAAACGAACCCAACCGTGGCCTCCCTCCCCCCTCCTCCTCCTCCTCGTCCTCGTCCTCATCCTTGAAAAGGTATGCTGTTGTATGGTACTTTGTGAGTCAGTACCCAAAGCAGGCGCCGCGCGGTGTGTAGGTTAACCTAGTATATGAAAAAGACGCATTTGAAAAACCGAAATTGGCACATTGCTAGAACAATAACACTGTGAACGATTTGACATTAGTTATTGTAATTAAGATCATATTGATACTCAGCGAGTGTATTAAAAACGTCCTCGATGTTTCCACCAGAGCTGCATAGGTTTGTTTATATCATGCAAAAGCCGCCTGGATGGACACAGGAGGCATTTAAGGGCAAGTGAACAAACTCGTGTTTTTGAATCTAAAAGCGACGACTTCAAGCATTATTCAAAAACAAAACATGTGTACTTGAAACTCTTTACCAAATGAATTTCTTTTTACGTTTTCGGTGCTGTTTTATCGCAAATCAGTTTGTTATGTTGAAAGTAGTTGTTTCTGAGAAGTAAAGTCCCAACTTTCAGGACAGCCTGTATAGCAGAGAGCAGACATCGAAGGACACGAAGTTGATTCGCCAAAACGGCGTGGAGACAAAACGGCAAAATGTCCAACGCCGATGCCCCACCGCTGCCTCGTCCTGATACTGCACGATATGTGCGATAATTTGTCACGGAGCGACCGAGGACCGGCATCGTATGTGTTCCAGGACGTATGTTCGAGGATTCGGGGCAACCGTCGCCGATGGCCAGCCTTGAATAATAGGATGTCCGCACGCTGCCAACTCGAAATCTGGTCACTGCTGTGTGAGCACAGCCCCACAGCCCGCCCGTCCGTCTGCAGCCTGATGCACATTTTGGCCCTGCTGCCCTTTAGTGCAGGAAAAATATCTTGAAATTATTGTGTAGCCGGGAGCAATGCCCCCCTGTCTCAAAGAAAATTGGGGCGAACTAGTAGCCTGGATGTTGGTGAGTCCGGTCTGCAGCCTGCATATTCTAGTTATGTCGCAAGAATGCTCGTATACATATAGTTTTCCAAAGTTGGTTCATAAACGCAGTATCTATGTGAAATATGAGAGCAATGAAGGCGTACTGAACACTCTAACCCAGGAGTTTCCAACCAGGGGGCGCGCCTCCCAAGGGGGGCATAGAGAGATGTCAAGGGGAGCAGAAAGCGATTGCATTTTAGAATAAAATAAACAAACAACATTAATAAATAACATTGCAAAGTCACTTACAAAATAATTGTGTACCTAAAAGACGCGGATGAGCATCTGTGACATTCATTCCCACAAACTTGCGAAAAATTTGGCATTTCGATGTACAAGTTTTGTTGAAAAATCTGTTTGAGTGTGTCAAATTATTGTGTCTCACTGTTAAAAGGTAACTTTGTGTATTTACAAACTTCAGTTACCATTTTTATTTAATTTACTAAATTGATTGAGTGGAGACGCGTTCATAGATCGGCCATTGGGACTTTTTTCCTACATCACAATCAAACCAAGGTGGCGAAATGATTTTGAAACGACGAACTTTCAGCACCTAATATTGATTCCAAATGTATTTAAGATTACTATTATAACGTCAACCTGCCTACAAAAATATAAATATCCCGGTGGCCAATATACTGTTGAATACATTACGTTATTAAGATAAAATAATGGGCATATAATTAGTAATTACATATAGGTATTTCGCTTATTTATTTATTACTTATTTTTTTTAGTGTTATAGGTGCAAAATGGCAGCGAAAAACAAAATAAAGTTTTCCGTAGATTTCGTTAAGTTTGGATTTACCTTCAAAGAAAAAGACGAGTTACAATTGCCTCAGTATGTGATATGTATGAAAGTTTTAAGTAATGATAGCATGAGGCGCAATCGCCTTGAAAGGCATTTGAAGTAACAACATCCAACTCTGGGTTTTAATACGAAAGAGTTTTTTCTTCTAAAGCAGAATCACTCAAGCGGATGAGACTGGATACATCGAGAAGTTATCACACAGGTGTATCGCAGCATCTCAAAGCTTCATTTGAAATAGCTTTTATGATAGCAAAGCAAAAGAAACATCAAACTATTGGTGAAGAATTAATAAAACCCATGTGTCCTAAAAGCCACGCAGATAATTCTAGGAGAAGATGCAGAGCAAAAAATGAAGTCTATTTCTCTTTCGAATAACACAGTCAAGCGTAGAATCGATGACATTGCAGCAGACATAGCCACAAATAATTAACAAAGTAAAATTATCGCCATTTTTTGCCGTTAGTTGCGATGAATCCACCGACATCGTTGATTGTGCACAGTTAATAGTTTATGTGCGTTACATCGGCGGAGATATCATTCAAGTAGAGATTTTGTACTCCCAATCTTTGTCAGTAGTTACTACATCTGAAGATATATTTAATTCAATATCACATTTTGTTGCAAAGAATGACTTGGATTGGAAGAAACTCATTGGACTTTGCATAGATGGCGCACCTGCAACGATAGGTGTACGATCGGGTTTAGCTAAAAAGCTCAAGGAAAAAAATCACCCAATGGTTAGTACACATTGGCTTCCAAAACATTACCACAGACTTTGGACTCGGCTATAAGGATTGTAAACTACATCAAGAGTAGCGCTTTGAAAAGTCGGTTATTTACGTTACTTTGCGAGGATCTCGATTATGATCACAAAGTTCTTCTGATGCACAGAACAAAAGGAAAGCGATTATTTTTCTAAAATTGATGACCAATAAACAAAAGAATGGTTCATCATCTGACTGGCAAACCGTGCCTTTCTTTTTTTTCACACGGCATAAACGAAACAGAATTTGCGAACTGTTATAACCTAACTTCTATTCGCGCAGATATGGGATATATTTTCAAAATATATTTCGCTCACCATTAGTAATGGCAAATTTGCAAAAATCGCACCAAGGAATAAAAGAAATACTTTCAAAACTGGACGAACATGATGTTATTGCTTTAGCAAGTACAGACACACAGGGGTTACTGAAGGTTGCTTCAGTTGATGGTAAAATAAAATAAAACTAGCATCAGGCAAATTCAAATTTCAATAACTTTTAGAGGCAGTCAATGGAATACTTAAGCATTGACCTACATTAGTTAGTATCATGAGAAGAAAGATAGTTACAAAAGAAATACTATTTCAATATCTAGATGAGAACAATGTATCATTCAAGAGCCCAGCCAGTAAAAACGATCTTATAGATAGGATAATCGAATATTGGAACGAGTCGCTAACTCAAACAGTTCTTGATGAGCCAGTTTCCTCAGATGTCAAAGAAACTTCACCAGGTGAAAGTGAACAAGTGATAAGTCAATTGGCAGATCAGTTTGCGAAGTGGTTTTACACTATGTTAAACTCTGATGAAGGAGTTGGTACTGAACATTTTTATGCTAATGCTAAACTGAAAATAGCTATAGTGACTGACGAAGGTTGTGATCTGAAAGAAGTTGAAGATAATCCAGAAGATATATGCAGTGCTTTACGGACGTTAAAGTTACAACACCAGTTATACTTCAATCCAGATTTCACAAATGAAGGTATACAGGGAAGAATCGATCCACATGGATTAGTAATGGTGTTCACATGTGGAACCCTACATGCGGAAGATGCAATCGTAGGAGTGTTTGAACAAGTGTTTTCATTAGCCAGAGACACATTCTGTGATTAAAAAAACAGAACTTAACTTACGAAATAAGAATAGCACTGTAGGGCAACCACAAATATGTGATAGTGAAACATCAGATATGCTAGCCATTGCTCCAACCACTAGGTAATCATTGTAATGTAGGTACTATAAGAAAAGTCGGCTATAAGGATTGTAAACTACATCAAGAGTAGCGCTTTGAAAAGTCGGTTATTTACTTTACTTTGCGAGCATCTCGATTATGATCACAAAGTTCTTCTGTTCCATACCATGGCCACCAAGATCTCCCGACTTATCCCCAATTGAGCACGTGCGGGATATGATGGGTAGGAGATTGCTCAATTTGCAACGTCTTCCTCAGACTCTAGAAGCACTTCGAGAGGAGTTGGTGGTTGCCTGGAATGAGATACCACAGGAGGACATTGACCACCTGATCAGAAGCATGCCTAGGCGCGTTGGAGAATGCGTAGCATATCAGAGTGCATCCACACTTTATTAAAGGTCAAAGGGCTTTAAAGCAGTGCAATCATTTTGAAATTTTTATCATTTACTTATTATGCTTCATTAAGTACTTATACAAAATTTTATTAAAATAAAACCATTTAAACTGGGTGTTCGGATTTATGTCACTTAGTATATTTGAACGTGTAAAATTTTGACATAGCCTTGAAGGCCAGAGGAAATTGTTTTCATTGTCTTGGTCTGACCTTGAAATGACCCCGATGGTCATACTGAGACGTAAAATGTCCTACTGTTTCCAATTCCGTAGTAAATAATGGGGAGTCCATTTGAAAATATCCACTTGACCTTGAGATGACCCTCAAAGTTGCGGTCAAACTCATGATCAACGTAACTGTCATTTTTCTCCTCGAAACGCTACAACTTTTGTTTGAAACTTTTTTCTAGGTTGCGTAGTTTTAGAAATATTTAGGTGGGGAGGTTAAAATGGGACGCTCTATATATAGACAACCCATCCGGAAATCACAGAATCTCTCGAAATTGTCCCTGTGAAGGAAACATAGCTTTCTATAAAACAGCTGCAGATCCAACAGTAAGCTATTACAGAAGCATTTTGGCGGCCGAGAGATACTGGTGCACAGACCATTCCATGCAGTGAGTCAGATCCTTCCTTCTAGTGATTCGATTCGATGGTTTCGATCACAGTCTAGGAACCGATTTCATCGATTGTTAACAAACGCTACAAAGGAACGATATCGCAGAAGGAATGACACCGCAGTGGGAACCGACTCATATAATTACCTTTTAAAGTCTCCAAGTGATTAACGATCCACTATTTGTAGTGTATATGTGCTTTGCCATTGGTCGGCCACAGGGATTATAGCATGGAATAAATTGGAAGGGGTGTTCAGAGGTACCAACTGATACCCCTCCAAAAGTACTTTTGACAAGTTTATACAATTTTCAATCTTCAATGTCCAATGTATAAGCTGGACTTGTATATTCTTGTAGCAATCACTGAAGTAACACTTGACCTTGAAACGTTTTGTGACTTGTTCGGTCTTGGGGGTAACACTCAGTCCAACGGTGACGAAGTAATTTCTTTTGCCACTACTTGGCTTAGAGTTTCGCAGCCTGAAGTGCTTTACAGTTTGCTTTCTTTTATAGCGCAAGACCTTTTATCACCTCCACTTCAACTGAAAACAGGAAACACCTCCTGGAATACCCCTCGAGTTTACTTAAATGGTCTTAGATTTCCTTGGATTACGTCGGTGTTCCTTGGATTCCCCACTGAAAATGACTGGACTATGGATGCACATTCTGTGGCTGCCTCTCTCCTACGCTTTGCAATGTACGTGCACACGCGGTGCAGCGGCCATCGTGAATTATTGCCCTCGTTATACGTTGGCAAAAGAAAACATCAACGACCAAAAGAGAGAAGGGTCCGTTACCTATCTATTCCTACTCGGAGGTCGGCACGGTCAGGATTTATTTCCAGAATTCGACAGCCGTTCGCTCAGGAGAGTGATGAAACCAATGTTCAATTGGTGCATAGTGACATTCGGAAAGATCAATCTAATGATTGGATGCAGAAGTAGCTTTTCAAGCAACGCTAGTGGACGAAGCTTGCACATGTACAAGTTATTCGTCTTTCCTGTATTCGAAGTTTCAGTGGAACTAATACTTGCTCATTTCCTGAATTGAATCATTGCGCTCATGAGTTAGTGCCAAAAGAGAAAAAAAAACGATATTCCATTGTTGCTTCAACAAAAGCAACCAATGGCATTTGAAGAGATGAATCGAAGTACAGTTGCAGAATGAACTGGTGAAGCCTAGAAATCAACTGTTTGTTACGGGTTTTCTAACAGAACGCAACAGAATAACATGGGATTCGATGATGGCCACATCTGCAGAATCAGACTTTCATGTGAGTACGAAGCACTAGATCATAAAAGGCATCAACTCTTCCTCAAACGAATGGAGTTAACCGAAATTGCACCAACTGGTACAGAACAGTGGACTGCTGGATTGGGTACTGTTATTTTCAAGGTACAATAAGCCTTGTACCGAAGGATAGTTGCATGATTATCTGGTGAAGTCTAGAAATCAAATGTGTAGTTAGGGGTCTTCTAACAGAACGCAACTGCACAACATAGGGCTCGATGATAGGGATCTCAAGTGCCTCACCTGCAGATAAAATAAAAGAGAAGCAGAATCAGCTTTTCATTTCTTTTGTGAGTACGAAGCGCTAGATCACAAAAGGCATCAACTCTTCCACAAACGAATGGAGTTTAGATAAGTACCGAAACTGCACCAATGGGTACAGGACACCAGATTACTGGATTGGGCACTGAAACTTTCAGGTACAATAAGCATTGTATCTAAGGATAGTTGCATCATTAACTGGTGAAGTCAATAAATCAAATGTGTAGTTACGGTTCTTCCAACAGAACTCAACTGCACAACATAGGGCTCGATGATGGGGACCTCAACTGCCTCAACTGCAGATAAAGTGAAAGAGAAACAGAGTCAGCCTTTCATGTCTTTTGTGAGTATGAAGCGCTAAATCACAACAGGCATCAACTCTTCCACAAACGAATGGAGTTTAGATAAGTACCGAAACTGCACCAACTGGTACAGGACATCAGACTGTTGGATTGGGTACTGGAACTTTCAGGTACAATAAGCCTTGTATCTAAGGGTAGTTGCATCATTAACTGGTGAAGTATAGAAATGAAATATGTACAGTAATGGACAAAAGTATATAGCTAAATATGAATATTTACTTAAATACCTTTAGGTAAAACGAATTCGTACTTCATTGCTCCATAAACAAATGCGTTATTGGTAGAAAAACTAAATTCCTTGTTTTTACATTATCTGCAATGAACACAATACAAGTCTGAATATAAGCACTTTTTTATGAGGGACAAAAATATGTAGACAAATTCTTTTCAACATTAGTTCAGTACAGTTGCGTGTCAGAAGAGGATTAAATTGTGTTCAACAAGTATTGTGGAATAAGTTGAGTGATTTTAAGACCAGGCCGCGTGGTCCAGAAATGTATTTCGATGTGAAAACTAAGATGATTGAGTTATACAAAGATGGTCAACGTCAAGTCGACATTGCCAATTTCGTCCACAGATCCGTTTAAAACCCTAAGACACATAAAAGCCGAAATCGGGACAAAAGGAATTGTCAGTGTTTCTACGAAAACTATAAGTAGAAGATTAAATGAAAGTTATTTGCACGTCGCCCGAGTAAGAAGCCGCTAATCTCGAGGAAAAAACGTAAGGACCGATTACAATTTGCACGGTTGCATCTTGATTGTAGCATCTGTGACTGGAAGAGGGTATGTTTCAGTGACGAATCCAAGTTCAATATCTTTGGATGACATGGTGTTCATTACGTTAGACGTCCTAGTGGACAAAGATTGAACCCCAAGTACACTTTGCACACTGTCAAACATGGAGGCGGGTCTGTTATGGTTTGGGGGTGCTTTTCGGGGTTTGAGATGGGACCTTTACAAAGAATAGATGGCATTATGGATAAGTTTGTATACACATACATACTAAAGCATGACATGTTATCCTATATGGAAGACAATATGCCCTTGAGAGCAATCTTCCAGCAAGATAATGACCCGAAGCATACTTCAAATCTCGCAAAGAAATTCTTTCTGGATGAAAAAAATCCAGTTCTCAAATGGCCTTCACAGTCTCCCGATATAAACCCCAGTGAAAATCTATGGGAATACTTAGATAAGCAAATACGAGATAAAAATTATTCAAACAAGGATGAACTTTTTGCCGCTTTAGACCAAAAGTGGGGATTGATGAATCTTATATCAAGAAACTTCTACAATCTATGCCGAGACGATGCCGGGCGATGATTGATGATAATGGTTATGCTACAAAATATTAACACAAACGTGGTTGGTTTTCTAATTCAATGAACTTTTTTCTTTTTCTATAACTGTTATGCTTTGTTGTCTATATATTTTTATCCTTCACAGTTCCAGTTTTTTCAATTAATTTTTTATTGAAGAGAGTCTAATGAATTTATTTATGTATAAGTTAGTATTATGCTATAACGAATTATGCATACAGGTTGGTGTATTAATAAAACAAGTTCAAAAAGAAAGCACAATATTAATTTGTCTATATACTTTTGTCCATTACTGTAGTTATGGATCTTCCAATGGAACTCAACTGCACAACATAGGGCTCGATGATGGGGACCTCAACTGCCTCAACTGCAGATAAAGTGAAAGAGAAACAGAATCAGCCTTTTATGTCCTATGTGAGTACGAAGCGCTAGATCAGAAAAGGCAACAGCTCTTCTAGAAACCAATAGAGTTTAGAACAGTACCGACAGTGAAACGGAACCAACTGGTACAGAACACCAGACTGCTAGACTGGGTACTGTAAATTCCAAGGTGCAATAAGCCTTGGAGGCTGCAGTGCTATCGAGGAGTTTGGTCCAGCGGCTTTCGAAAAGGTAAAAACCGGTAAAGTAAGATTACTGAATTCAGGATGTACATACTATACAACTTTGCTTCATTCAGGTACACACAGTTTGCATAAAAGCATTGTACCAAAACCAAAATGATTGGCCACACGCAGAACTGGCAAAAGCAAAGTTAAGCGGAGACGACAATAGGCAAACCAAGAGCTACCAACCTTGAAGAAACATAGAGAGTCG